TCGAGCTGACCCGTCTACTATTCAGATGTTGGGCATAATGGTTTCTGGGGTAGGCCGAACGAAGACCCAAACGCACATAACAGGGTGACAGAGAATACACTCCGCTTGATTGCTTTCCCCTGGATTCTCTTGGATTGCTTTGGAATGGAGTTACGATCTGACACCTGATTCCATCCACACCTGGGAACAGCTGGAAGTGCAGTTTATGTAAAACATTTTCCTAGCTCACCGCACTCAAGCAGCTCTTTCTGGCATTCATTCATTCAAGCAAGACCATGGGGAAAACCTTTATAATGTTTGGAAGAGGTACAAAGGATATCAAAAGTCTTGCCCTCATCTGTTTTAAAATGATAATATTTGATTAATTGATGTATTTTCATGTGAACTTCAAAATCCACATACTTTTTAAAAATAATTTTTTTAATAAAATTGGTATATTTATACTAGACTTTCCCTATGATCAAATATTAACTAACTTTTTTGTCACGTTAGTATATTTTTGGGTGATGTTGAGAACTCCTCCTACTATTTTTTGGATATACTGACCGGACAAACCCCAAACCCCTCATACAACATATACATGGAAGGTAAATCAGTCGTAAACGACGACAAATGAGTGAATAAAGAATCCTCTAGGTATGTTGACCTTGATGCTCCTTATCAATGCACATAAAGGTTTCCCCCTCACTACAGTGTTGAGAAGAACATTAAGTTAAAAATATGTAAACGAAGAAAGATTCTAAAAGAAAAAAAAAGTAATAATAAAAACTTTAGAGAAAACTAAAAAATAAGTAAAATTTTGTTAGGTTAAATTTGAAATTAAAATAGGAAAAATGCATCTATTTTAACTATACAGAATTTTGTTATACAAGATTACCAAAATTTAAAGATCAAATCAAAATCCTAAGTGAAGAATTTTTTTTTTTCCAAAACACTCAAAATCAAAGATGACCCTTTACTTAGAAGTATATGAAGGGCGCAAGTAAAACTTGACACCGTATTTGTTTGATTTGAAATTGAACTGTTTAGATCCAAATTATGCCTTTATATTGTGTATTGTTTTTTACACCGATGTCTAAAATATTTTTAAACCCCATATTTACATTGAACTCGTAAACGGGATAAGAGGAGAAGTGATTTCATTTCACTACGATATTTTAAACCCTACTAAAATAATAAATAAGATTTCAAAGAACCCCATCGAATCAAACGAACCAAATCGAAACCCTAACTTAAACCGAACAAATGGATTAAGAACACAAACCGATCAACCTCGGATTAATGTCCAAGATGGAACCGAAACCCATAACCTGTTCTTGATGCTTCACATCTGTCCTTTTTAGGTAAGTTTCCCGAAAAAGAAACAGAAGAATGCTGGATGGATACAGATTTAACGATCACGAATCATAGGCATTTGGGCGAACATTAAAACCCTAACAATTGATGGAGAAGCATTAACGCCAATCCCACACAGAGCTACCCTCTTGGATCACTACACAATAAATGTATCATATAAAACTGGGGAAGCAAGTGTGAGCTTTGGCACGCAACGTTAGACTAACCAACCTCACTCTGAGACTTTTCCAAGCAATTTCTCCACCATGATCCTCTGCTGTGTCCCGCTTAACAACTCAGAGTTCATGATCGCATTGGCGACAATAATCACCGCACGAGGAGAGGCTGCATTTACCTGGAATCGTGCGTTAACAAGTTCTCTCAGAACACACAAAGGGCATAAATACCGAGCTATCCTATCCATGAATTTATATGCTAACAAAATGCTGCAGATCAAGGATATAATGTCTATGTATATATATACCCAGACTCTGCCATTTAGGCCGACCGCAATCTCGAATGAAAGTTTCTTCCCAAGGGTTTCGAGGACTGGGCATGTTGGTGAGCTTAGCAACCTTTAAGATAAGAGAAAGACCCTTTGTATGTCAAGAATGGAGATGCAAGGGAACTCAGCCCAACAAAAATGCTGAAATATGAACAAGAAGAGCCTTACATCCTTGCCAAACCAGTTGAAGTTTCAAACATGAAACCATCTCTTAAGGGTCCAAATTCTGCAGCCTTTCCGCTTGCTTTTAAATGGAATCAAGTTATTAATTAGTGCAGAAACTAACATGGAAAACAAACATTGACAGAGAAACAAGATGGACGGGCTCACCGTCAGTACATGACAGCTCCGGATTCATTCCCGTGTTCGTCTTCACAACCCGAACATAGATTAGAGTGCCTACCTGTTGCAAGAAGATGTTATCCTGAAAACTGAGCAAATGACATATGATCATTTCACACAGCAGATCTATCGCTAAAAAGAAGACGAGATATTTGATAGTTACGACTACAACCATACAAATGAAATACTAAATCTGTTAGGCTCACATGTCACCTATGGACTAAAATAATTTACACGAGCAACGTCGAAACATTCTCGCATCTCAAGCAACTTATTACTAAACATGGAACGCAATGCCGCCTCAAGACTCTTTCATGAACAGTTCAATAAAACATGAATTCTTCGATTCTACGGACCTCAAACTTGGGTATATTTCTCCTTGTCCCACCTTCAAATGCCAGTACAGGCAAAAGCGCCATTTGAGGTCCTTTTACGTCCACCATGAAATTCTGCAATGAAATAACGAGCAAACAATCAAATATCAAATGATTTAAGTTTGAAATCATATTAAAACTTGTCCTAATAGGACCCACACATGCACCAAAAGACTTCTATCTCTAATGCTTCCCCCTTGAAATTTATTAGCTGAAGTTAAGTCCACTCCCAACTATTAGCCTATCCAAGATAACCCACCAAACAAGTGATCCTCCATCCTTTGGATTTGGCAAATTCATGAAAAGTGTTTGACACAAAACAAAAATGGAGCAATGAGGGATGAAGAGGAAAAATCCAGAATCGGAAGAACACAAGCGTGCTATAAAAAAATTGTGTTTGCATCATATAGATGGAAAACAGACAATAAAATGGTTACAAACAAAACTCTAGGATTCATATTAGTAACACTTCATAACACTTACGTCTGCTCTAGAATCTACCACGATGCCAAGAACATGATCCTCCGGGCAAGGTGTGTACTGCAAAAACCGCAACACCAAAGTCAACAATGAATGGAAAGACTGCACCATTGGCAATCAGTAACCGATCTAGATACTGTTAGAATAATTGTCAAATCTAGAGTGCCAGATAAACAAATGCTTCTCAAATCCAGATTTCAGAATTACAAAAGACAACCCTCTCCTCGATAAAGCCGAATGGCTTACTAGAGAGTTTCCAGATGTGGACGATTAGTTTGGATACTGCTTTGGCTAGAGGACACTAGGAATAACCAACCAAGAATGGATTCATTCATCTGATGTGCTCACCCTTTTATGAGAACTTTCCACCCAGTATTTACTTGGCTTTGAGTATCTCAATTTCCCAGCTTTCATTGCGGATATCACATCACCGTCCTGAAGAAATTCAGATATTGGTTTAGCTATGGCTCACAGATCATAATGCACTCTATAAAGGTACTGATTTCACGGCAATCCTCAAGCAGTCACATGAATAATGGCCGTGAGAACACATCGGTTGAGTAAATTGGTAATACTGTCAATTTGCAAAGTCATTGAGATATTCGTTCATCCAACACGAAATTCGTTCATCCAACAATTTGCAATTGTCATATTCCTGGCCACTATGGTTTGAAAAGACACGCTGACACACATAAATAAAAGAACAAATATCAATCATTCTAAAACAATGACGCGGTTAGCTAGGATGTAATTGGCACCGAAACTCCATATTGAGAAGGAAAAACCTGACGAAGGCCACTGCCAAGCTTGATTGTTTGGTTAGTCATGGCAGATAAATCAAGAACCACGTCTCCCGGAACCTGAAAGATTATCCAAGCGCTCTTATTCCGTGTATCGAATCCTAATTGGAATCAAAAGAAGTGAGTGGGGAGAAATACGCACCACAATCTGATCAGTGAGGCTTCCGGGCGAGCTAGATACTTTGGCATCCATCTTTTATCGTTCGCCAACAACAATGGCGACCACTACCTATAATTTTGAAAGAACAGAAGACCAAAAAGAGAAAGAAAACAGAACAATTAGTAGACCAATAAGTTCAAATTCTCAGTCGACAACAACTTTGTTCCTCGTCATGCTCATCATAATTCCTAATCTTCCCTTTGGTACTGTAAATCTCAACCACATTCGACAAATTGTCCAAAATACACATTGGGGACTAAGATCGTAAACATAACCAGAAACCATGTTAGATTCGGCGTTTCGAAGATAACGAAACACAAACGAATAACAACAGAAGCAGAACATGTCTCGAAAACAAGATAACACCTAAAATCTATACAAAAATTTCGTCTCAACTTAACCTCAGAAGAAATCATCCACAGAATCTCGAAAACAAGCCTAACACGTTTACTACAAAAAATTCATAGAGTTCAGAGTCGGACACGCATGCACAAATCGATGGAAATCTCAAAGGGTTCGACACTCGGCCGGGAAGAAGAATCAGCAAGAAGAGAAAATCTAGAAATCAAGCCATAATCGACGGAAATCTCGAACTCAACCCCTAATCTATGAAAACCTCAGAGAAAACCCACAAATCGTTACCTCGGAGGCTCAGAAAACACAAATCGAACTCGCCTGTGACGGAGAAAGAGGTTCCGACGAGTCGGCGACAAACTGAAGGAGAGAGAGAGGTCTCGCGTCCAACGAAATGAGGGAGGGAGAGAGGTCGTGACTAGTCGGAGAATGGAGGTCGAGTCGGAGAGAAAGGGGGAGGCGTTGAGGTCGACGAGCGAGGAGCGTGCGTGAACTAGGGTTGATTATACGTAATATCTTCCATAGTATATATATATATGTTTCAATACTTTGGGCCAACGCAATACGTCATATAATCCAAAATAACTTTCCATGGACTCCAAACACAAACACAGTTCCTGTTTCCTTGGAGCTCACAATGTTCCGACCAATTATACAATAGAGTTACTATATTATTAATAATATCATTATTGTGATTTATGATACAAAGAGAATAATCTCATCCAACAACGCAAGATTAATACAACCAACATTCACACACGGAAACATCCTATAATTTCCCTTTGAATTGAATTCGAATTTCTATTACATATGGTTAAATTTCCTCCCTCAGGGGAACAATAGCATTGGAATCGAGAAGGGTCTCGAGGGATTTAGCCTTCCGTCCTCTGTTTCTGCCGGCTTCCTTCAAAAGCACGGCCAATCTCTTCTTCTCGTCCTCCACGTCGGGATTCGCCGTCCCGAGCTTCTCCTCCCTTATCCCGACCACATGTTCCAGCATCTCGATCGCATCCTCCGACCTGGTCATATCAAGAACATAATAAACCGTTGAATGGGTTTCAACAACAACATCGCCTTAATCTCAAATTTATTTGGAGTCGACCATCTAAATTCTTCTACTCATTCCGATTTTGGTTAATGTTTTTTAGGCTGAGTTCTATTATAGGCCTAAAAAATGATTTAATTGGGTATATTATGATGGTTCTATCACATGGTTTCAAATGAGGTTGGTAATTTTGGTTAATAACTGAATAATCAAATCTGATAAAAAAATGGAATGGTTATGATTTTTTAAAACCAAATCTAGACCGAACCAAACAAAAAATAACCAAAAAATCGAAAAATTTATTTGAAAAAATAAGTATTTTTAAACCGAAATAGATATAAACTAAGGGAAAACATCGAATGTACCTGCCAATGGCGTCATAAGTGCCAGCGAGATTGCTGTAAACTCCAAGAGTATCCGGATGATACGGACCACACTCTTGCTCTAAAATGTCTTTAGCTTCTTCAAAGAGCTCCACAGCTTCGTCAATGGCGTAACGCTGAACGCAAGCTAACCCCATCTGGTTAAGCGCAATCCCGAAAAACGTCGATTTCTTCTTTCCCATTGCACGCAGCTTGGAGATGGCGCTCTTGAACGAGTCATAAGATTCCGAGTACTTTCCCGACATGTAGTACAAGACTCCGGCCTGAGCTTCGATCCCGGCGATCATACTATGCTGTCCGGGAGAATTGTTGTATACCTTCAGCGCCTTCTGCAGCAAGTTGATCGCCTGTTCCAGCTCGTTCATGGACTCGTAGATCGCGGATATATCCGTAAGACCGCTCGCTACTTCCTCCGGAGGAATCCCGAGGTTTGGAGACTCGTAAATCCGAAGGGCGTTTTCGCAATACGACTTTGCTTCTCGTAGTTTACCTGTTCGGTTATAGAGGTCAGCTAACCGAATGAAAACCGAACCGACAGCCGGATGGTTCTCTCCCTTTGCTGTCTTGAGCGCCGTCAGAGATTTCTGGTACGCAAAAACAGCTTCGTCGAACCGAGACAGAGACAGGTACGAGTCACCGATGCTTGAATCGACGAGAGCCACCTCGGAGTCTTGCCCGTTTGCAGCCATGGCCATACTGGCTAAAACCAAATGTTCGAGAGCGTTTTCGTGATCGCCCTTCGTCTCGTATATAAGCCCCATCAGTCTTCTATCTGCCGCCTCTTCAATGGAAGCCGGTGCACCGTTTTCTCTATGAATGTCGAGAGCCCTTTTACAAACTTGCTCGGCCTCGTCAAAACGCACTGCCTGCACAAGAGCCTCGGCTAGGTATCTGCATGTTTCGCCAACTCTCGGGTCATTTTCTCCCAAAACCTTCTCTTGAATTTCCAGTCCCTCGGTGTAACATGATATCGAGTTCTCTAGCTGACCTAGCATTGCGTAAGTATCGCCTAACTGCATATAACCGGCAAATTTAGCGAGGGCGTATTCTTCGCCCTCCTCGATAATCGGAATCTCGACCGACTGTTGGAGAATCGGGATTGCCTCTTTGTACTGCTCTAGTTTACAATGTATTGCCGCTGTAACGTGCAAACACATGATCCATTCCAAACGTGGTTTCCCGTTACTTGCAGCAGCTTCAAACAGTTTAGCCGCTCGAACAGATAACTCGAGGGCTTTGTTGGGATTATCGCCGGAAGAAATCAAGTTCTGAGCTTGTTTGAGCAAAAACCGTCCAAGCTCGGAGTTTTCAGATGGATCTTCCTTCCCGTTTTGCGATTTCGCCCCTGCCTTGTTCCTCCTCGGTTTGTTCAGATTCTTATCATCCTTCTTACCGACTTCTTGCTCGGCCGGACTGTTTTCTTTAGGAACATCCTTGGATGGCAACTCCGAATCCGATTTCGTCGTATCGACCTTTTCCGTGCTGCTCTCGGGTTTCACCACTTCATCTTCCTCCTCCTCCTCCCCTTCCTCCTCCAATACATCTCTTTCTTTCATCTCTCCTTCAGCAAGATGCCGTAAATCAGAATCGATCCTCGACTCGTCGCCATACGAACCAAAGCTTTGCCTCGACGGGGACTGATCGGAACTCTGCATCTCACACAGATTATCGCAGAGCTCCTCTATCGACGTGTGAACAAGAACCCCTTCAATCGGGGGATCGGAGGAATTCCCATTCAATTCTTTAACCTTCTCTTCCTCCATGATTTCTTCAGACACAATCCCTGGCATCTTTCCTCCTGAAACTACAACACATTCAGACATTCAGACACGAATGCCATTCAAGAAACAGCCAGTAGAACAGATCCAATGACAGAGACATACTCGTATCGCCTGCAAAATCCAATCCAGGGAAAAAAAGAATCAAAAGAACCAAGAAAATTCCATAATATTGAATTCGAATCACGATTAGGGAATACAATTTTAGATCAATGAGCATAAAAAGGCCTCTAGAATCGGAAATAAGATCCGGCATAAAAAAGCTTCTAGAATCGGAAATAAGATCCAATCCGGTAGCATCAAGAAGCTATTTTCCCCCCAAATGAGGTACTCGAACAAGCATCAATCCCTAATTAGCTCCAAATCCATGGCTTTTTCGTACCATACCCAATATAACAGGAAACCCCGATAAGCGAATCATAATTACAAAAACGTTTGTGAGATTTACGTAAAGACAAGAAAAAAAATCATCTGGGTTGGTCTGAAACAGAAGAAATACCTACAGATACAGCCATGGAAGATGAACAGGAGGCAATATCTCCTCCAGGGATTACATATGAAACGCTCAAAATATATATATATATATATATATATAAACCCAATAAATAGCTACAGCACACAAACACACAAGCAGACAAAACAAAATTCTCACCACTTGAGGGGCTTCTGCCTCGAATCAAATCCTTCGAAACCAGATTTAAAAAAAAAATCGGAAATTCCAGAGACGGGTCGACGACGAAGCTTTTGTTAGTGGAATGTCCAAGGAGAGAGAGCAACTTGCCCCTCTCGGGGAGAAGAAAGGAAAAAGAAAAGGAACAGATCACTCGGAGCCTTGCAACTGTTCTTCGGCTTTGCTGTCTTTTCCTTTTTCCGACAACGAAAACCTTTTAAGAACAAAATCTAAAAACTGAGTGGTTAATTAATCCTCTGCGAAAATTGTTAATTGGGATAAATTTGGGCATTTCCCTACGTTAAAAAAAGGTAATTCGTTTTCTTTTTTTCTTTTTTTTTGTATTTAATGTTTCCATCCCCCAAAGCAATTTCATTAAACGTTTTCTTATTTATTATAATACAAATATAAAATGTTTTATTCAAGTACAAATCCGATTGCGGGTCAAACATAAACCTTCACCTAAATAACAACAATAAATAAATATATATATATATATATAGGTCAATTTTTGAAGACATTTATAACCAATATTTATAGAGAAATAAATATTCGTTGAAATATTTAAAACCGAAAGAGTCTTTCACCGCTAGAATTTGTTCATTTTTATGCCGCTAACACCACTAAAACGTGGTTCCAAATAAACGGTTAAATGACAATCAATGACAAAGTATTCCATAAGCAGATAATTACGTTTCTAATTAAACAATAATAATAATAATATAAATTATTTAATAATTTATTTATTTATTAGTTGGAGACAGCAGAATTTTCGACTGATATGGTGATGGGGCAATGTCTTCTGGTAAGTGAAATACCACAAATGCCCTTAAGAACGTGAAGAGAAAGAATTAGGGTTTGACTTTGACGTGACGCGTTGGCAAACGGTCCATTTCGTGAAGGGAACTTACCTTCTCACTCGATTAATTAAGTCATCTGAGTAAATGCTAATTTCACCTTTTGGTAATAGACCCACAATCGGATGGATTAATACTTTTTTTTTAATTTCTCTAATAATAAAAGAGAAATGAATATGAAATATTTATTTTTCATACAATTTAATTGCATTTGTAACCTTAACATTTCTTTTTTTATATAAATGTGATTTCTTATATTAACCAAAAAATATTGTTTACAAAATCAGCATGGCTGCATCCAAGACCAACAGTAGTACTCAGACTGTATATTCTTTACCCAACGATTAGTTAAAAACTAACTACGCAGCAATATTCAGATAATAAC